AAGTGGCGATACTTGAACGTTTCAAGGTAGAGGGAAATGAATTAGAAAGATTAACTCGATTTTGTTCTCAGAATATGTGCTTGTATAAATAATCTATAGAGCAGTATTGTTAAGATAGTGATTGCAGTCTAATATCAAACCTAATATCCTAGTACTGTGTATCATAGCAGAATGCAACCTCGAAAACGAATGTACGGTAAGCAAGTTTTTCTACAGGGTTAACCAGAAATTAGTAATCTAACTACACTGCAGTTTCGATGCAACTGCAGACACGTTCTTTATCGTAAGAATGATTTCGACATAATGTCAAACCTTGTCGAAGAGATCATTCATTGATATGACCGTCTATGATACTGGAGTGCTATATAAATAATTAATCGATTAACTTACACTAAATCTAAACATAGTGAATTTGGAATAGAGAATATGTATTGTCACAACAGTTACCACACGTTGATAATATCAGTCATGAACTAAGTTATCCAAATATTACGTTGTGCGATGATTCAGAAATTGGAACAAAATCTATTTACATGGTAATCACTCATTCAATGCAGTGATTGCGTAACGCTTGAATACAATTAAGACATGCTGGAATTGAAAGCAAAAAATTTATATTTCGAAGAATTCGAGTATACGACGGGATGCGTAGGGTAACATTAGTTAAATGTACAGAATATTCATTGATGGCTATAGGATGATAGCCCGTGAAATGGATTAAAATGATGATTTCAAATTCATTAAAATACAGTCACTATTAAATTGTGAGGAATTTTGCTTCTTTAACAAGGATTACATTCCAAATTGAAACAAGATACTGTACAAGCAGCAGAAAGCAATCCTACACTGAAACGAACAGATGTGTTAATATTGCAAATAATTAAAAAAGCGTCAACTCCACCTTATAGTTGCTGCTAGTAATCCAGCCGACAAGACTTTCTAGAAAGGCTTCAAATAGGCTAGGAGAAAAATCGATGATTTGGCTATCATCTAATAGGAAATTAATCAATTCTGAACCAGATTCTAATCTTTTCCTGGTGTCTTGTTGCAAGACTGCCGATAAGATTTGCTCGGCATTCTCGAAAACCATTTTGATGATTATGTAGTCAGTTGTAGCTTTAGAGTAGTACTATATTTACAAATCAGGTGTAATTTACGCGAGAGAAAATTATGCCAATAGCCAATTTGGATGAATTAATGATAGCTGTACGCGTATGATCGATGAAACCCACATGGATAGAGCGTTGGGATTGGAGGAGAATCTGTACAAAACTACGCCAATAATTATCTTGTTCGTCTAAGAGATAATCATCAATAAGAACATAAATTAGTTTTGATACATGTAAGCTCGACAAGATGAGTAATTTGAAAGAATGTTTTCTATCCGGTATAATAAACTAACTGGTTGATTATTAAGACAGTTCAATTAAGACAGGGCAAAAGACAAGGTGAACAAAATTGTCTTTCAAATCACCGCTTGCAAACAAGTTAATGACTATTGCGGTAAGCCTAGAGGCTACAGTTGATTACAGTCTATACGTGTGGTTTATTTCTTATTTCATTAATCTTGTAGATAGGACAATGGCCATTTTCAATTTCCACCTATCCAGGTCAAATAGACGATTAACTACTGTTATTGGCGACAGTCTCTGAATTTCTTACTGTCCGTAGGGAACAAGTCAGGGAAGGAGTGAAATGGGTTCATTTTTAGATTTTGCGTTTTGAGATCGATTGTCTTTGACTTTCAATTACTGTCAGTAAGACTAAGAATGGAGTTGAAGAATTTTTTTCTTTTTTAATGATTACAAGTATGACCATTGCAAAATAACCGCTGAGCAGTGTAAATGGTTACAGCAGTTGGTTACTGTAAGTAGTTTCATTTTGCAATGCAATGACTGGAGATGTACATACGTAAGCCGAATTGATTCAACTGCTGCAGTCTAATATTAAAGAGGAAAATAAGAAACTCTTACAAGACTTGCAGTAAAAGATTGCAAAGCAATTTTGACTGAATAACCGGGTAAAAAAAGTCTCCAATTGATTGGTATTCTTTCTTAGAAGATTGTCTATAATCCTTGAGGATGAACTCGATGAAGTGAGGAGGAAAATAGAAACTATTACTAAATTTGGCTGAATAACCGGGTTAAAAAAAAGTCTGCAATAGATTGGTATTCTTTCTTAGAAGATTGTATAATCCTTGAGGATGAAGTGGAGAGATGCAACTACTTTTTAAAGAGGAAAATAGAAACTTTAACAAGATTTGCAGTAAAAGACTGCAAAGCAATTATGACTGAATAACCGGGTAAAAATAACAGTCTGTAATGGATTGGTATCCTTTCTTAGAAGATTGTATAATCCTTAAGGATGAAGTGGAGAGATACAACTACTTTTTAAAGAGGAAAATAGAAACTTTAACAAGATTTGCAGTAAAAGACTGCAGTGCAATTGTGACTGAATAACCGGGTAAAAATAAAAGTCTGTAATGGATTGGTATCCTTTCTTAGAAGATTGTATAATCCTTGAGGATGAAGTGGAGAGATGCAACTACTTTTTAAAGAGGAAAATAGAAACTTTAACAAGATTTGCAGTAAAAGACTGTAGTGCAATTGTGACTGAATAACCAGGTAAAAATAAAAAGTCTGTAATGGATTGGTATCCTTTCTTAGAAGATTGTATAATCCTTGAGGCTGTAGTGCAGAGATACAACTACTTTTTGAAAGAGGAAAATAGAAACTTTTACAAGAATTGCAGTAAAAGACTGCAGTCACAATTGTGCAATTGTGACTGAATAACCGGGTAAAAATAACAGTCTGCAATTGCTTGGTATCCTTCCTTAGAAGATTGTATAATCCTTGAGGATGCAATGAAGAGATACAACTACTTTGCATTGAGATTCTTCCACTTGGATCCAATTGTAGTCGACCACACCGAGTCATGATGCCTGTGGAAGTGCGTCTACAGTATTGGGCAGTTCAAATGGCTGATCCCTTGTTACTCCCTGTAGTCTATCCACCTACCGCATGAATTTAGCCATAGTCTTCTCTATCCCTATTCGACATGATATCATGCAATAGCGTTGAAAAGAAAATGAAGCTATTAAATGCTGATTTTTCAAAGGGTAAAGACTGCCAGTTCAGCGTAGTGGCTAGCCCCTTATTAATTTTGACTAATGGAGACTGTATTTGAAAGTCCCTGCGTTGAAAGGCAGCAATCTTTCTCAATGGATGTACCAAGGAAAATGAAGTCATTGAAGTCATTGTAAGCATAGTGAACATGTGCAAGACTTCATGGATGTATGGGGCCATCATTGGCTGCATAAACTCGTCCTATTCCTGTTCAAGAATGCCTCATCTTGCTAATAACATGGCCATATTGATTGAATTAAATAGTGATACAGTGCAACTTTCAAAGGACTTACCCACCAGTGAAAGTGGTCTGCCAATGGCGACAACTGCAGTTCAATGCTTCAATTGGTAATAGTGGAGACGACCAATTTTACAACTGGAATTGGTAAACTCTTTCTATCCGCTTTCACAACAGTTATTCGACCCTTAATGGTCTAATTCAACTAGATAGGCTAAAGGAAAGTGCATAGAAAGGCCAAAAGGCAGGACAAAGTTTTGCTTTGGTCTTGCAGCAAATTTGAAATTTTTAATTTACCTGACTGAGCGCTCAATTCTACTCTTGCAGTAGAGTATCGCATGCTGTTGAAAACTTGTATCGCACAGTATAAGTTACTGGCGTCTGTCTGCGATGATAGCCTCGGCCAATGGTCTTGGCTCAAATCGCCTTCAGCAGTTAACGGTCGACCAATGGTACAGTACGTTACGTGGGCACTACTGCGTCTGCTCACATCAGCTGTGGAAATTGAACAGACCAGACGGACAGAGCCCTTGGCGGCTGGACACTCAGTGGACAGTGGACAGTGTACAGTACAGTACACTGTACACTGTACACTGTACAGTACAGTACAGTACACTGTACACTGTACACTGTACAGTACAGTACAGTACAGTATATTACAGTACAATGTACAGCACAGCCAGACTGTAGACTGTACCATGCAGCAGGGACTAACTGACAACGCAGTCTAGAACGAAACATCATACTGTACTGTCTACGATTTTCGTCGAAATTAGCCACTTGGTTGATTTTGTACATTGTAGTAGACGGTTTCGGTTATAGCGTATAATAGAATGACCAGAAAAATGGTAAACCCACTCATTATTTTGCCCTGAACGGCTGTTCCACGTCCGTCTTTCTTTCTTGTAGTCCGTGACCTTACAGTGTACAGTACTGTATATTACAGTACAATGTACAACACAGGCAGACTGTAGACTGTACCATGCAGCAGGGAATAACCGACAACGCAGCCTAGAACGAAACATCATACTGTACTGTCTACGATTTTCGTCGAAATTAGCCACTTGGTTGATTTTGTATATTGTAGTAGACGGTTTCGATTATAGCGTATAATAGAATGACCAGAATAATGGTAAACCCCCATTCATTATTTTTGCACTGAATGGCCGTTACGCGTCCCTCTCTCTTTCTGTACGTGCGTACAGTACATTGGTGCAGTGTACAGTACACTACGGTAGACTACAGTACAATACTGTAGTGTACAGTACTGTACAGTGTACAGTACAATGCTAGATACAGTACAGTAGTTCTGGGTCTGCGACACGTTCTGTCTGTCCATGTTTCCCAGGTCACACTGTACAATAAATGGGCTGCGAAATTTGTAGAGTACAGTGTACAGTACAGTATGATAGGCGATTGCTGTACTGTACTGTACACTGTACAGTACTGTAATAAACAGACGTCTGAAATGACTGTACAGTACAGTGTACAGGGGAATGACCAGAAAAATCAGAAGCATGCGCATTCATTACCACTCAAAGGCCACTTTGGACTTTCTATACAAGAGACTCGATACACAACCCGTGGGTGATTCTTAATGTGACGCATTAGCGTACGCATGCTCAATTCTTGCCAACATGGATTCCATTGTCTTGGTAAGTTTCCCATTAGAAAAATGGCGTTACTAATTGCGATATTCTTGCTATCAATCCTTGCTTTAAAGTAGTGATATATTGCATGATTACAATTTTAAAAGAAACACTGTCATAGTCATTGCTATTGCTTTAAAGGGCGAAATAGTTCAATATTATACATTAGAAATAAAAATCTCGCCTATCCAAAAAGGATGACAATCGCCAAGCGCTTGTTCTAGGTTGTCCCTATTTCTACTGTAGGATCATCCACCAAGCCACTCAATACTAGTATAAAATCTTCCACTTTCTTAACCATCTAACACATGAGATCAACATAAAACCAATTAGTTTAATATTCTACGTTAGAAATGAAAATCTCGTCTATCGAATAAGGATGATAATTACCCAATGTTTGTTAGACGTTGTTATGATTCCGACGTGTACAGTGGACACGTATGAACAAAGTATATCAAGACTGCACTGCCATAAAAAATCTCTGGCGCCCGCTCTTGATACTAGTATATGTAAGCTAACTGTGAGAAATCAATGTAAAAGTAGTTCTCTTGGTAACCATGACTGTTCTGCATTGATTCCATCTATTGTAAATTAATCTTGTTATAATCAAACTACAATTTGCAAATGGAACGGCTGCTAGACACGACAGTACTGTACACTGCAGTGAACAGCTTTGACCATGTTGGTATACTAGACTAGAAATTAGTTTGATGTCGATAAAGTGCTTGGGCCATCTAATCAACCCTTCAGAATCGTTATACAAATGACTAAAATAGACTGGATCAATATCTTTAGGACGTGACGTTATACGCTGTTAAAGCCATTTTGATCTTAGACAACGATGGAGAGAGAATTATTGCCAAGGTAAGTCGAATGACGTGACAATCAAGTTCAAGATTCCATAGTGGAGCATGCAGCGTAACATGACTGCTTTACTCATTATCATAGCATCGATATCGATGAAAGATTTACTGTAGCTTTTTATTCTACTTGTTATCCTAACGTATTTGTTGTATTTTTCTAGTACTACGATAATACATTCACTCATCTGAAAGAACAGAAACAGTTTGAGAAAAAACTCTACGATAAAACACCACGTAGTAGTGGTAAGATATGCCCTTGTTTCGTATACCTATTACCTACTGACGACAACATCAATGTTGCTTATTGTACAATATATACGTATATGGATAAATCCCAAAAATGGGTTGTTAGCCGATAGATTACAGTTTATTCAACTTAGGATACTCCTCTATTTTGCAATACCAACATGACTAACATGATGCATACTCATTGATCAACATTTGCAGCTGATATCATCATGTTAGACTCCATGACTGCTGTATTTAGAAGTAACGTCGATTTAAATTTTTACGTTATTGGATCGTCTAATGAAAACGAGGTATATCCACATAAATATAAAAATGGTGTAGTAAAGGATGAAAAATCACTAAAATTCTATTTCAAATGTGTTCTAACGTGATTGCTCTTATTCAGGTGATGTTGAATTGCGTCTTAAACGGATTCTATGACGCTATTAGTACAATGTTAAGAAAGAATGTAGAGAAAAAATATCTCATGGATAATCTTGATGGTGTTTTCTTAGCTCTTGATGAAGTCGTAGACGGCGGGTATAGATTCACTCTGTCTTGTTTGGCGTTAACTCGAATGATTATTGCCATCTCATCATTTCTTCCTATCTTATTTAGGATTATTCTTGAAACGGATTCTACAAACATTATTTCAAAAGTTGCAATAAAAGTATATCACCATACTTTCATTGGAGTGACTTAGCTTTCTTATACCTTGGTAGTATCTAACAATACGATCATTTGTAACTTTTATCATTAGTCAAATCCTTTAATTCAAAATGACGACTTACCATTAAGTGAACAAACTGTGGTACAGGTAAGATCGATGATAAATTCATGATACGTTGAAATAGCTTACTTTCTTAATAAAGAAAGCTTCTAATTTTTTGTAAAATAGGTCTTACAGTCTGCTAAAGACCAACTGAAGAGATCTCTATTAAACTAATCGTTGTGAGATGTATCGACAAATAACATGAATAAATGCATTGGCGTTAGTTTCTCGTGCATTCGATATGAAAAATTTATTCTATCATGGTACTATGTCATCAAACAGGGTAATTTATGGCGGATTATTCTAACATCCTAACTGGAATGTAAAGATTGCATTTCTAGGATCAAAATGTCTTTGTTTATTATGGAAGTAAATATCATATTGAATAAAATTTAAATGTAACGTATGTCTCTGCCTGTGGCCGCAATGATTGCAAATGTTCAATGTGCATGAACTGGTTGAAATCGTGTGTCAAACATTCATTTTATTACATGCATGGTTGTTGACTGGATACTTCGCATACAGTCTTGTAGCGATTCAGAGTATTCTACTACAAAATGAGAGATTTTGTAATTTGCTTTCGAACGATATCATTTTAAAACATTGTTACTATAGTTGCAGTCTAATCGATACGAATGATGTATTTTGTCTGGCTAAAGCTTTCTCTACTTTCAAATCGGCAACGCAGTCAGGTCGGTAGTTTTAGTAAACTACAAATTTTCTAGCTGAGTTCTATTAAGGGTAATCTTTATCGCTATTTTGCTTCAAAGATTTCTTTCAACTCACGTAATGTGCTAATAAATGAGAAATTGACTGTATCTGAATCAATTGCCAACAATAGTTCTCATTCAAATTTTGAATTCCATCGAAAAATGCTTATAACAGTATCATAATGTTTTTTAAAGCAATTTAATTTCCGTTTTGCGTTACAATATCTATTCGATTATGAAATTGCTATTGATATTTTATTTATTTCCGACGTCAATGTACAGATGCACCTGTAACACTTAACCTTTAAATTATAAAAGATATTGCCCCTTACCCTATGAAATTAAATTAAAATTAACCTGCCGGCTATAACCTAGTGCAAGTAGACATTCGAGTTCGAAGTCAATACAATTTAAAAGATATACCGTTTAATCCTATTTCCTGGCATTGTTAAACATCTGACAAGGTCAAATTTCGAATAGGATTCTTGATTTATTCATACAAAAATCTAATGCAATAATATAACCAATATTGGATTGAACCGTTAATATGATGTTCAGCTATGAATTTCTGTTAATAATAATAATGTATTTATTAATATTTTTGATTTAGCAACTCCAAGTTAACTTACGCCTTATATTCTAACTTAAAGTGCTAAAAAATATAACTTTTTAAACTTAAGATTCCACGAATTAGCGTAAATATATATGTTAATAACTAACGAAATATTACAGCTTTTTGTGCTATGTCCGACATTCTATCATACTATCTTAATCGAAATCGATTGAACTAGCGTGCGAATAATTTACTGCTTATGCTTACTTTAATGATTCTTAACTATTGATTAATCGCAGTGATGTTTCATTAAATCTTCTATTAATTTTGGATGATATGCTCCATGCCTTTAGATAGCAAGAGATCTTCTATACTGATAATCTTAAATCTTTGTGGCTTTCTATTAATCAGGTTAAGTAAGAATTATTTATTGTTCGATGATGCAAAGTACTGTAATTATTCTATCTAGAATTAGAAAAGACTTCTCATCGTCAAATGTAATCCAGAACTTTGATCTAAGATATATCAACAGTAAATCATTATAAATTGAAAGTATTTTACCTAGTTTAGGAGAATTATAATCTATCTGTGTTATAAGACTGTGACGCTTGAGGATAACATAAAGTATTTGATAATTTTCTTCGTAAACCTAACAAAGCTATCTCGTACCTTGCTATGAACTGGAATTTTCCTTCTAATGTTTGTCTCTGTACTAATATCGTTGATAATATTCTAACTTTTATGTTACTGACAGCTTTGTGATTATCGTATAGAATTTTACTATAGCTAGCTAGAGCTACAAACTACAGCTCAACTCCGTGACCTTCAATACTTTTTATTTCATGAATAATCCCTTATGTAGAAATTTCTGATAGTTCGTTAATGAATGAATTAATTAAGATTCTCGATAACACAAACAACAACACAACAACAATAACAACTTAACAACACTTCTGAAAATATACTGATCAATATAGCAAATGAACGTTAATATTTTACTAATAATTTTCGCTACAGTCTAAAATTAAATTTACAGAGAAGCAACAATGATTATTTTTACATTTTTACAATTGTCTCGTACTTACGGATGATAATTGCAGGGAATTTCTAAATCATAAATAAAACCAATCAATTAGTAATAACGATACCTAAACAAATTTTACTCAAGTAATCTAGTTAAAATTTAATTTGTACTAATAAGCCTATACTACCATGCCAGCCAGTGTCTCGCTTGGCATCGATCAATGGGTAGCAAAATAAAATAATAGCAACGTTAAACTACATCTACCTACAAAGAAATTTCTTGCGTTTGATAGTCGTAATCTCGATACTTGCCATTTAAATTACGAAAAGATTACTGTAGAATATCCTTCCAAAATATGAGATATTATTGTATTTTATTTAGAATTTGATAATCTGCTATTTTTTAAATGCAATTCAATTTGAGAGAAGAATAAGTCTAAAAAGTCTAAAAAAAGTAGCTATGTAATTCTGATGAGTAAAAATATCTGGATGTAAGTTCGTACAATATTTATTTCTTTTTACGAACAGAGATAAAAAAATTTTAATATATAGTACTCTGTCAATGTATATATATATACAAGGGTAGATGCGAGGATATGATTGATTAAATAAGGAAATGAAATGTTTGATATTATTCGATGATATCATGGATTAAGAGATTGAATAATTAAAGAATATGTTAGCATGAAAAGATGAGTCATCTCTATTAGTCATAGCAACTTAGTCACGATGGAGCTCGTTTTATTCTGTAATTCCTCATTAAAATGCAGAGTCGAACATTAAAAGGGAAAACAGACGGATAGCATTAAAAAAATATGAAAACTATATAATAATGAAAGAGTAATAATTTATGTGTGGAAAATGATTTATTTCAGACATTGCCTTGCTTTAAAGAGGGCAATGGAAATAATATAAATGAGATTAAGTATGAAATTATACGCTTACGAAATAACTAGTCCTAAACATAGGAACGATCTGTTTATATGTTGTCATCTACTAAGTTATAAATAGAAAGATCAGACTATTTTACTCCAGACGTAGCGCGTAGAATGCGAGCTTTATTTCTTTATGTAGCCCAGGATTGCTAAGGACTATATGATATAACCAAGATTGCATTCTATTCATGCATAATTTAATTAAACTTATTTGAATAAATATAGAGAAATGATCAATTGGTTCTATCAAATTCATGATATTTTTCATAGAAAGTCAATTTTAGGCTACTTGCCTATATTAGCGGGGACAAATACATTTTTTTTCTGTTGTTTTGATTCAAGCAAACAAGACCGAAACGATGCCCATGGTCTCACTATCTATTCATCAATTTACTTGTATTCACATAATTTGCAGACTTCCGTAGAGCAAACTGCAATGCAACGTTATAATGATTAAGCCCCGATAGAAAGCAATATTTAATAATATTAGCTAACCAATCAATGACAATGGCAAATTTTCCATTTTCATTATCGCACTGCTATATCAGTGATTTTAAGTTTTACTTTATAATCGCCAACAATACGACAAATAAAAACAATTTTACTTGATAGGCAATCCTCATTCAATATAGGAATTTTGTAGATATTTATATTCTTTTTTGAGTTAAAGTATGTTAGAAATTATATTTTTGAAATATACTCTATTTAATCAATGACAACCATGGATATTTACTCGTCCGTAAAAACATTAGACCGGATATAAAGCAAGGCATGATTAGCTAGGCAGTTTTTGAGAATGCAAACGTAATGCCACTTCCTATTATCGTAGCAAATTCATAATAAAATATGAAAATCTCCCAAGCTAGATTACATTCATTAAAATTACTTGACTGCAGACCGATAAATTAATTACCTTTTAAATGTCGAATCGGAGATGTACCTGATTGATTTTTTTAAATTAAACAGCAGCATTGCCATTTTTAAAGCCTTTAAGCAAATTTCTATGCCACGGCTTGTATTACCATTGCCCTATCAATGAGATCAATATGGCATTGGCTATTTCACGTTATTGCGTTAAAATTAGATGACAACGTTGTAACTATTGAATCTCATGATCATTGTAATAACTTGATTGATTGTTCCTATAAGATATCACAGCTAGTGGAAAACATCGTTTAAGAAAAATTTGTATAGGACCATCATCTGAAAAGAAATTTAAAGTGTTGAAAAGGTAGAACTGTAGCTATTACTAAGTAGTGGAAAATTGTAAACTATATTGGTCTGGTTGAAAATTTAGAGTGTCTCGCATTCATTTTCGCTATTTTTAAAACATAAAAGAACGATTATGAATAAAAATTACAGACAAATATTTTATCAATAATATTACGATCAATAGCCTAAAGAAAACATTATCTGAGTTAAATTATAATTAATAAACGAGCACTAGAATTATTCTTTCTTAAATCAATATCACAGTAATGATATTAAGATTCATATAATTCGTCTTTAAATATATATTGCCGCAAATTCAAGACAGTGCTCCTGTCACTGAGCTTCGAGCAATTCAAGTTCTAATTTAATTTTCTTATAATCACTATAGTATCACATTTCCTGTCTTGACGGATTATTTTTAGTCTAATAGTCGTGCACTATATTGAGAGGAACAATACCTTAAAAGGAGCGCATTGACTTGATTACGCACGAATATTAAATGTAGTATACACGCGTACATGTTATAAATTTGTTTTCCATCTATTAAGTCTTTAATCAGTATAGTGGCGCAAGCTAATGCATAAATCCCTATAAAGAAGATACGTTTTATTTATTTCATCAGTTCGACCTTACATACCTATTCATCCACAGTTCATACTATGTCTGCAGTGCTATACTACACTATCCTAAATCTCTCTCTCTTAAAAACTCCCGCCGACAAACTTATATCGTAGGGTGTCTACAGATTCTACAGTAAGCTTTCCTAATACTTACTCCCTTAAAAATTCCAACTTTATATCTTCGACGGCCGGCTTATATTATTTAGTTAACTTCTAATTTGGATATACTGTATTTTAATATAGCATTGACTTTTTATGACACTTATACACATACTGAAATTAATAGTTCTAATAGGGAATGCAAATCATCTACT